AAAACATTATTCTTAGCATAATGTTTTCAAGGTCCATCCATGTTGTAACACACATATCAGTACTTCATTCCTTTTCCTTGCTGAATGATATTCCATTGTATGGACAAACTACATTTTATTTATATATTCATCAAATAATGGACCTTTGGGTTGTTTCTGCTTTTGGGTTATCATGAATAATGCTGCTGTGAACATCCATGTACAAGTTGTATTTGAATTTTATGTAAATCAAATCATATTTTATATATTATTCTGTGACTCATATTTTTGACTGTACATTAGGGTTTTTTGAGATTCATCCAAGTTGTTGACTGAAGCTAGGGTTCATTATTTACACACAGTAATATGTTATATGATTATACAATAATAGATGTATCTATTCTACTTCGATAGATATTTGGGTTGTCTTAGTTTTTTCTATTCCAACGAATACTTCCATAAATATTCTTGTACATGTCTCCTGGTCCACAGAAGATAATTTTTTTTTTTACCATAACCTTCAGGGAGAAATCCACTGGATATCATGGTATAGTACAAATATATAACTGAGACAAAGTGTTCCTAAAGCAATACTTAGTAACAGTTATTCTAACCACATGCAATGCACACTGATACTTTCTCTTCTCTTTCAAATAATTCATTTTTAAAAACTGGGCCCAGTCACTCAATTTATTTCACAACCTCTAAGGATCCTGGCCCTCCATTTGAAAAATACCACTCTAGGCTATGTACGAGGGCGTAGGATCACCAAATCATAGGATTTGTGCATCTTTCCTTTGCTCTACATTTTGGCCAACTCTTGGCTTTTGTTACCAATCTCATGAGTATTTTATGGTATCCTCCTGTCTCAATTTACATTTTCTCCTTCCACCAATGTGGTTGAGTACCAATTCATGTTTGCTAGTCATTTATATCCTTTTTAAATTTATTCTCATTTTTTTTCTATAGAGTGTTTTGTTTCACTTCTTAATTGATTTTTAGGAGTTCTTTATATATTCTGGATGTGAATCCTTTCTTTCACTTATGTATCACAGATGCCTTCTCCAAGTCGATGGCTTTTTTTCCCCACACTATCTTTGTGTCAGAAATTCTTAATTGAAATATAGTCAAATGTAGCAAACTTTTTTCATATAGTTGGTATTTTTTGTGTTTTACTTAGGAAATCCTTTTCTATCTTGGGGGGGTCATAAAAATTCTTTTACATCTCCTCCTAAAATCTTTACTGATTTGGATTTCACTTTAAGCCTTTAGGATATCCGGAATTGATTTTGTTTATAGTGCAATTAGGAATCCAAATATATATATATATATTTCTTCAACTCCTCCCCACATCTACAACATCATCTCTGTCCATATTTGTATGACTCTGTATTTGGTTCCATTGGTTTGTTTATCTATCACATATCTGTACCAATATCACATACTCTTATTTATAGGCCTTTATAATAAGTTCCCTCTACTTGTTCATCAGAAGGGTCTTCATTATTATTGGCCCTTTTATGCCCATATTTCAGAATCAACTTATCAGATATTAGGGAAATTCCTGTTGGGATTGTGATTAGAGTTGCTATAAAATTTGGGGGGAATTACCACCTTTACAATACTGAATCTTTCTCTCCAGAAGTATAATATGTCTGTCCATTTATTGAGGTCTTCTCTAATGATCTTCAATAACATGTATAATCTATGAAGTGTTACTCCTCTTTATCCTTGGTACCTTATTTTTATTGTTGTTTTTGTTCCAAATGGAAGCAGTATTTTAAAAATAAATATACTATATCCTGATTTTGTAAGTGAGGGGTTTAGATTGTACTCTTAAATTTATGAGAAACTGGGGATAATATTTTGGATCATTCTAAATTCTTTTCTATATAATAGCAGTTCCTCATATATGCTCATACACATGAATGGTAAAATATAACATTCTAAATATTTTACTAAAGGTATAAACATCTCACGTATTCTCCTCAAAATACAGAGAAAGGGAAAATTGTATGCTTTATGTGCAAAAGAAGGAACAAAATATGTATGAGCATTCTTACAACCAATGTATTAAAAGCTGATCCAGAATGCTAGCCTCCATTTTTCAGCTTGAGATCATTGTCTTCTACGATGCTGTGTAAGAAGCTTTTTCTTTTTAAAACACTAAAAATTCACATCACAATTCAAAGTTCATTTTTTTCCCTTGAGACTCTAGTTGAATTAAAATGTCTCTGCCTAGACATTAAAGGTTTTTTTTTTAATAGGAAGAAAATGGTCTGGCTCAGATATCAAAATGGGAGATCAGTAGAGCAAGTACCAGATTGCATTGAATTTTGATTACATTCAGTATACTCAAGGAGAATTTTATTTGTTGTTACTTACCTAGCTTCTTCCTAACCACTTAATTTCTCTAAAATAGTGAACTATTGAAGCATTTATAAAAGGAGAAATTCTTCAGTCTGTGAGAAGCCGAAACTCTAACCAGTTCTCTGGTGGATTTCACTCTAGATGGCCACAATATTCATTTTGAGTCTATAATTTAAACACTAAGTTTAAGTTTCCCCAAATCCTTTGGTTTCTGTCTTAGGCATTCCCAATCACCAAGAATTATTTATGTTTTCGTTGTTTAAAATGGAAGCCAAGATACTGTCCACTTTCAGTCTTCAACTCTTTGTACTGGACAATGATATTAAAAGTCAGAATCATGCTTAAATGTATCATGCTTTTTCTAAGGTATAGAACTTGATTTATTTGCCAAAGGGTAGCATTAGCCTGTTGCTTTTTTAGTCTATGGTTCTTTCTGCATCCTTCTGGATTCCTTAACTCCCCTTTTCCCTTAAGCTTAAGCTGAAAATCTTCCCCTGAAGATGTTTGAGCCTTGTTCACATGTACCTAATTCCACTGGATCTCCTTATTGATTTATAAAATTTCCCCTCTACTCATATTAGGAACAAAATGTTGTTAATGCTTCTATAAATACCATCATTGGAACTGATTAGGAACTTTAGGAGTCAGAGAGATTTATTTACTTCTAATTACTTGAATTAGTGTCGCTGTTCAGTGCTTCAGGGAGTCTACTAATTTCAGTGTCCTTTGCTTCTTTGGGGGTTAGCAGCTGCTTTGTGGAAATAAAGTTTAATGGCTTCATTCAAATGAAATACATTCTGGGGCAATTTACGAATCTTCATGTGTGGTTTTCCCTCACATCAAGAATAGATGCACTTCCTTTCCCTGTATGGAAGGCACTGCTTTCTTTTTTCTTTTTCTTTTCTTTTTTCTTTTTCCCTCCCATGCTTCCTCCCACCCACCCATGCATTCAAACTTTTCATGTGGCTTTTAACAAGTTGACCTCAGTGGGGACTTCGCCATGTTTCTTTTGCTTGTTATTCATGTAGCATTTTGTACCTGCAAGTTTCTCTTTCATCAAATTTGGGGCAATTTTTTATTTCTTCAATTTTTTTTTTCCTACCCCATTGTCTTTCTTTTCTTCTTCTGGTATTCCATTTACATGTATGCTGGATTGTTTGATGTCATGCAGCAGGTCTCTGAGGTTCTGTCCATTTTTTTAAATGATTTTTGCTTGTTGTTTATCTTGGCTGATTTCTTGGACGATTACCTTCAAATTCACTTAATTTTTCCTGGGTAATTTCCATTTGGCTGTTAAATCCACCCAGTGAAGTTTGGGTTTTTATTTCTAAAATTTTAAACTTTCAGAATTTCCGTTTGCTCTTTTTTCTTTTTCTCTTATGAGATTTTTGTCTCCTGAGATTTTCAACTACTCAAAACATGTTTTGTTTTACTTTATTGAGGAGAGGTATAATAGTTCAAAATCCTTATCGGTCGGTTTCAACATGTGATTCATCTCAGGGTCAGACTAAAAAAAAAAATGTGACCCATTTTCTTGACATTTTGAATCATATCTTGGATTTTATGAATAAGTTGTAGAGGTTCTGGATTCTATTGCATAAATGCTTCAAATGTCCTACTCTGCCTCTCTGAAACTCCTCATCCTTGGTTTCCAGGTCACATGCTCACGAGGGTTTGCATCTTTTCTAACCGCTCATTCAGTAAGTCGTGCTCCTCCTATCCTGAAACGTGGGTCCGGCCTAAAAACATGGTTCTTGGCAGTCTGGTCTTTCTTCTTTCCACTTTCTTCTACGGAGATCTCATCGATTTCCACACTTTAAAACTCACCTGACAGGGAACGGAACGAGGCTTTTCTTGTTACCAGGAATTGGAGACCCGGAGTCAAGGCTGCCGGCCCAGAGTCCTTCAGTATTTCCCACTTTCTCAACGGGGCTGCAAACAGCACTGATGGGAGGAGCATTGAGGGCTTCTGGGCTAAGGGTACTCTTGAACTTTCTTCCCCCTGGTGTCTGCCCAGATGTGAATAAATGCCGAGCGAAACTGGAGCGTGTGGGCTCAGGTTCGAGCTACGTCTGCCAGAGGGAGGAGCTCCTCTCGCTTTCCTCCGGGTGTGTGCGGCCCTCCGCACGCAGGCAGCGCGCGCCGGGGAAGCGGAACTCGGACGCGTGCTCCCCTTGCTTCTGGCCGGGTGCGGGCCGCGGTGCACCACCGGCTCGCCGTGCACCACCCGCTCGCTGCCCTGCCCGGCATGGCGGAGCGCGGCGATTCCGAGCCCACCCCGGGCTGCAGCGGTCTGGGCCCGGGCGGCGTTCTCGGCGGCGGCGACGCCGCCCACTCATGGGCCCCGGAGGACGCCTGGATGGGCACCCACCCAAAGGTCAGAAGGCGCGAGAGGAGCAAGGCGCCGATCCGGGGCCCTTCCCCAGGTGGAAGGCCGCCGCCGTCCGCTCGGCCCTCGCCTCCCTGCGGGGCCGGGTCGCAGAGTTTGCGCGCGAACCTCACGGAAGGGGACCCGCGTGCACACCGCCCGTGGCGGGCAGTCTTGGTTTTGTTTGTTTAGATGAGGTGAACTATTGTTCTGACACCCCCCCACCCCACCCCAGCCCCGGACACACACCCATCCAAGCCTTTCCAGAGCAGGACATTAAACCCAGCGCCTCTCCAGGCAGAGCCCAATAATAACCATTGCACCAGTTTCTTAGTTTTGCTGTCTAGGGCTCCTCCTGGGGATGGTCTCCTTTAATCCTCGCAGTAACCAAGTAACCACAGTACCCACAGCAAAAAACAGCTTGCGGGCCTTGGTTAGATAAAAAAGATCAAGGCTTAAAAGCACAGCCACGTTTGCACTTAGCCTTGAGCCCAGAATGTGCGTTGTGATTTTGCTGAAGTGCAATTTCCTGACTTTTCTCATTTCTTGTAAAGTTTGATTAGGTTCTTCTCCAAAGCAGACATTTGGGTGTTGTTTGTTTGTTTGTTGGGGTTTTTTGTACAGCAGCAAAGAGGTATAGTTCCTTTGCTTGCTTCTGCTTGGCAAATTGCTGCCTTGGACCAGTAATGTCCCGAGCAATGAATGGACAGTGAATGGAGATGGGGGTTTTGTAGGAATCTCAGAGACTGGTCTAGTTATTTTAGTACGATTGCAGTCTTCTGCTGCGAAGCAGTATTTCATAGATCATTATCTAAAAACAGTCAAGAAAAGAAAAATTTCGAAGATGTAAGTCTGAAAAGAGATAATCCCTTTTCATGTTCTCTTTCTTGATTTTATTCTCCTCCTCTATCCCCTCATTCCCCGTCAAGGTGAGAAAAACAAACATGGATATGTTATTCGGTGCCATAAAAAAGAACTGTAACACCATTAAGTAGCATGAACCCAATAGTTCTGTGTGAGACTTTAAGTAGACTGCTTGAGTTTGAAAACCCTGTTAGGTCACTAGCTTTGTGGGTTGTTCTTTTTTTTTTTTTTTTTTTGGAAGTTTTAAAAATCTCATTGTTCCTCAGTTTCCTCATCTGTAAAATAGGGATAATAATAGTACTTACCTTAGAGGGTTGTTACAGGATTAAATCAGTTAATATTTGTAAAACATTTGACATATAGTAAGCACTATATAATATATATATAATATATATAGTATGCAACATTAATTTCATTATTCTCATGCTTAGAAATCCTCAGTGTTTCTTTATGGGTAAAATTCAGACTTTTAGCTTGACTATCAAGACCTTGCAGCCTGGTCTCCAGTTACCAATTAATTTCAGTGTCATTTTCAAACACATTTGTGGTGTGAAGAGGACAACTAATAATACCCCTGTTCTCCTGCACCTGTCCATACTTATGATGAAGCTAGTGGGAGAATATGATGGCAGGTCTGTACCCATGCAGGTCTGCTAATGCTTCACCTCTGCATTAGGCCTGCTTACCCACTGAGTCACTGGGATAGCAGGCAAACCTCAGGCTTCCCTTGCAGAGGTAGTCCACTCAAGAATGTTCTCCAGTGCTGACCAGCAAGTCTGAAAGAAGTCGGGAGTGGTTTTTTAGCAGACTTTCTTCACAGGCAAACAGAGACCTTGGAAACAGTGGCTCTCAGTAACGTGCTGCAGTAGAAATCCTATTAAAAGATGTCTCTACTCCTGGCAGATAGATTTCTTTATAGGCCCTTGAATATGTGTGTATTCCCACCTATGTGTGATTACTCACGCTGTTACCCTGCCTTCTGTGTTTACTCAAAGCATGTCTGCCGTTCAGGGCCCAATCTATATCCACCTCTGCCATGAAACATTCACCAACCAAGCCATCCAAGTAGAGCTCCTCTGACTTGTTGTCTCATGTTTTTTTTATTTCACACACTGGTTTTTAATCACTGTCATGGGTTCTTATTTGCCTAACAATTGCAAGTGTGCGTGTGTTTACCTTAACAATTGCAAGCTTTTTAGAGATGGGGATCAGGTTTTAATTGCTTTCTAACTCCCACAGTACCTAGAAGAGAGTCTTCTGCTTTTATATATATGTATTTAATGAGTAGTTGTTGATTGAGTGAAAGAAAATATTGAGATTCTTCCTTCTCTGACAATTACGTTTTGATTTCCAGTATTTAGAAATGATGGAATTAGATATAGGAGATGCCAGCCAAGTTTACATAGCATTCTTGGTTTACCTGGACCTCATGGAGAGTAAGTTATTTGTTTGATTGTTCTGTTGTTGGGGCTATGGCAGGGGGATGGGGAGTTGGATTGGGATATGGTATTTAAGCATTTTCTGTTAATTTTGTCAGTTTTGTAATTTCTTCATTTACATTGGGAATTACTGGGTAACAGAAAATACTAGAAAAGTGAAGAGAAGATAATATTCTGGGTGATGTTTGCTCAGTGGAGTATTAGGTAGAAATTTAGAATTTTATCTTTTATTTTGATAAACATTATTTGTCCATTCAATGATGCACTTTTAGGTAAAAGTTGGCATGAAGTAAATTGTGTTGGATTACCAGATCTCCAGCTCATCTGCCTTGTCGGTACTGAGATAGAAGGAGAAGGATTACAGACTGTGGTGCCTACACCCATCACTGCTTCCCTCAGCCATAACAGGTGGGCAGGTGATTTCGGTCTTTTAACATGTTAGTTCCTTTCCACTAGGAATCATTAAATTCGGGGTAGTAATATATTTTTAAAGGAACATAGGGTACAGGGATCATAGCTTTACTCTTGGTTATTTGAGGAATAAGTTAAATATGAGCATTTAACAAGTATTTAGCACTTACTGTATTGTCAGTACTTTTTCAGAGAAGGAATATATATGATAGAAATACTATATTAAGAGAACAGAAAATGTTTTCATTCTTATAAGGAGGCAAGACCATTATACTTGAAACACAGGTATTTTAAGATGTACCATAATAATTGATACAAATTATATTTGCTATAGATGTTGGTGAAGAGTGTGCTTAACATGCAAGTTGAAATCAAAGAAAGTGTCGTGCAGTTCATGGGATCTTTTTAAAAAAATCTTAGCTACACAGAAGTGGATTAAACATATCTTTATTTCATGACACATTCTACAAATCAACCTCACGAAATAAAACTAGATTCTTGGTAGTAACTTATATCTAACTATATGGGTCCCCTCCTTCTTTGCTTCCACTGTCCTGAGGTAACTCATCCTGAATCCCATACTCATTGGGAATTGTTTAATTTTAAATCTTTTTAACTTTATAAGAGCATATAATCTTTTGACACTGACTTTATACACTCAGTATTATATTGCTGAGATTAATCCATTGTTGTGTATTTGGTTTTGGCTGCCATATCGTATTCCATTGTGTGATTGTACCCTAGTTTACACATCTGCTTTCCTGTTGATGGAGAGTTGCTAATGTTTGACTTTAGGGGATAATTTCAAACTATTTTCCAAAGTGGTTGCCTCACTTTACTTTCCACTTGCGGTGTAAACAAGATCTCTTGAAGTTGTATTGTTTCTGACATTAGGTACCGTAAGACTTTAAAATTTTTGTCAGTTGAATGGGTTATCTCATGGTGGTCTTAATTTGTATTTTTCTGATCTCTGATATTTTGAACATTTCTTTATATATTTATCGTTTCCTCTCTTGAGAAATTCCTGTTCATATCCTTTGCCTATCGGATTGTTTGCAGTTTTCTCATTGACTTGTAGGAGTTCTTTATATATTCTTGACAATAATCCTTTTGGTTGTGTTTCCCAGTTCTTAAATCTGTTTTCAAGTATTTTTTGATGAATAACAGTTCTTAATTTGAATATAATCATATTTATACATTTTTATAATCAATGTCTTTGTGTCTAGGTTAAGAAGTATTTCCTATCTAAAGGTCTAAGGAAAACTCACCTATATTTTCATTAAGAGTTTTAAAGTTATTTTTTTTTTCATGGTGTGAGAAGAAGGTGAGGGACCTTGTTTTCATGTGGATAATCATTTTTTTCTACTTCCCTTTGCTGAATAGTCTCCTTCTTCCTCATTATCTGACATATCACCTCTGTCATTTTCCAAAGCTCCATTTATACACTGACTTGTTTCTGAGCTCTCTTTATATTCCATTAGTCAATATATCTATCCTTGTGCCACTATCACATTTTCTTAATTCCTGCTTCAGAAGAAGTCCTGATATCCTTGGTATCTGGCTATCAAGTCTTCTTTTCTGCTTTTCTCCTTTGAAGCTGTAGCAGGCAGCCTCTAAGATGGCTTCTTGGACTCCCGCCTTCTGGTAGTCCCACCCTTCTGTAATTTCCTTTCCTTGAGTGTAGTCTGTACTTGCTGCCTTGCTTTTAACAAATAAAATGAGGCAAAAATGATGGGATGTTCCTTCTAAGATGACATTACAAAAGACTATGGCTTCTGTCTCTCACTTGCTTGTTCTGAGGAAAGCCAGCTGCCCTGTGAACTGTCATTTAGAATGGCTGAAAATAGAGGAGTAAAAGTAACTATTGATGGAGCAAGATTCTTGAGAGTCAGGGAGGGGTGGATTCCAGAAAATAGTTGAAAAGATTAATATTGAGCTAAAGGAGGAGGATCTCAACTTCTAAGACTGTGAGGCAGTTAGAAAGGACAGATGAAAACAGAGCTATATTTGGATGGGTAAATGCATATAGAAGAGAGCAGAGTACCTTAAATTCCAACATGAAGGGCTTTAATGAATACCTTTGTTTTTCTCATTTACTGTGATTGAAGAAAAAGAGCACTGGACTGAAGCCTTAAGACCTGGGTTCTGATCTTGGCACTGACACAACATTTTGTTTGATGATTGGTGACATACCTAATTTCTCTGGGTTTTAGTTTTTTTGTCCTTCATTGAGGGATTTAGATTGTCAGTGGATAATATGTAAGATCCTTTCCAAATCAAAGCTATCATAATTTGTTCTTTTCTTTTTTTTTTTAAGATTTTTTTTTTTTATTATTTTTTTATTTGACAGAGACACAGCGAGAGAGGGAACACAAGCAGGGGGAGTGAGAGAGGGAGAAGCAGGCTTCCCGCTGAGCAGGGAGCCCAATGTGGGGCTCAATCCCAGGACCCTGGGATCACGACCTGAGCCGAAGGCAGACACTTAACGACTGAGCCACCCAGGTGCCCCATAATTCATTATTTTCAATAGTGTATTCCATAAAATTATATTAAACTAATTTTTAGATTTCTATTAATATTTTTGGTACAGTTTTGTATAATTCATTATAAGAATTTTTTTTCAATATATCAGGCTAGTCATACTCTGAGAGGCTCTTTACTGTGAGATTTTTCTGTGTGTTTCAGAATCACAAATAGTTGATAGGGTTGACATCAAATTTGATCACTGATACTTTCTGTTTTTTACTAGCATGAGTTCTAAGCCTCTCTATGTCTAAAAGACTTAATAATTCATTCATTAAAACTCACCCTTTGTGTCTTTTAGTTACTGCAACAAATATCATACCAGTTTACTATTATTATTATACTATTTGTTTGGAAAAGGAACTACCATTTGGAATTAACCTGAATTTAATCCTAAAAAATAAAATTGGTAGTCTGTTTGAATCAAAATGATTCATAAGTCTAGAGGTAGAAATTTAAGTCGTATTACTTTCTAGTTTTTTCCAAGTGGTGATTATTGATTTTCCAGCTTTATTACATAAAGCTTGTTTTCCTCTTTAAATAGAATTAGTTGGGAGGACAAAGATACAAAAGTAGGGATCCGAAAGGGTACGTGCACCCCGATGTTTATAGCAGCAATGTCCACAATAGCCAAACTGTGGAAAGAGCAAGATGTCCATCAACAGATGAATGGATAAAGAAGATGTGGTATATATATACAATGGAATATTATGCAGCCATCAAAAGGAATGAAATCTTGCCATTTGCAACGACGTGGATGGAACTGGAGGGTATTATGTTGAGTGAAATCAGTCAAACAGAGAAAGACATGTATCATATGACCTCACTGATATGAGGAATTCTTAATCTCAGGAAACAAACTGAGGGTTGCTGGAGTGGGGGGTGGGGTGGGAGGGATGGGGTGACTGGGTGATAGACACTGGGGAGGGTATGTACTCTGGTAAGCGCTGTGAATTGTGCAAGACTGTTAAATCTCAGATCTGTACCTCTGAAACAAATAATGCAATATATGTTAAGGAAAAAAAAAAGAAGAAGAAGAAGAAGGTAGCAGGAGGGGAAGAATGAAGGGGGGGAAATCGGAGAGGGAGACGAACCATGAGAGACGATGGACTCTGTAAAACAAACTGAGGGTTCTAGAGGGAGGGGGGTGGGAGGATGGGTTAGCCTGGTAATGGGTATTGAGGAGGGCACATTCTGCATGGAACACTGGGTGTTATGCACAAACAGTGAATCATGGAACACTACATCTAAAACTAATGATGTAATGTATGGGGATTAACATAAGAATAAAAAAAAAAAAGAATTAGTTGGGAGGATAAATTAGTAAGCCATTTTTACCCTCTTGCATTTAATAACTCAGAGGGCTTAATGTATCTTGGTTTTTATATAAACATTCATAATTATATTATGCAGTGGAATAATAATATAGAAAATAGCACAAATGAGGCCCAATACCCAGTAGATTTATTATGCTGTTTATGGCATAAAATTTTCTCAACTCAAAGTATGCAAATAACTTTTTAACAAATAGCTATTGTGTGTGTGTGTGTGTGTGTGTGTGTGAATGAGAAAGTGTGTATTTAATTTCATTCCTCAGTCTTTAACAGGAGTGGTATTTTTAGGTAGTAGGCATACTTTTATCTATTTTTGCCTCCATGCATATTTTGTATGTAAAATGTTATATATCTAACAGATACATGATTTCAGACATTTGTTTGTTAATGTAGGAATTTTCCTTCATTAGTAACACAGAGAAGAAAATGGTTGACTTTGAATCTTTGGCAGCCTTACATAGGGAAGAAATTCATGTCCTAAAAGTATTTGGGTAGGACTTTGTGAGGCTAGTTCACCAAATAAATAACTAAATGAATAAATAGAATGTTTTATATAAGAAAGCTAACAGCTTACTTTATTCAATAATAAATCATCTACAAAAATAAATCACTGTGTTCACTTTTAAACAGCTTTTTTTTCTCAGATAATATTGTTGAGGCTTTTTAGTCTTTACTTACCAAGTATTTATTGAGTGACTATCATGTGTCAGGCAGTGATCTAAGTGTGGGGATACCATGTTGATCAAGACAACTCCCTTTTTTGGTATCAGTGACATACGACATTATATTAGGTTTCAGGTGTACAATAAAATGATTTGGTATTTGTATATATTGTGAAATGATCATCACAAGAAGCCTAGTTAAGATCTGTCACCATATGTAGTTATAGAATATTTTTTCCTGTGATGAGAGCTTTTAAGATCTACTTTCTTAAGTCACTTTCATATATGCAATACAGTGTTATTAACTGTAGTTTCCATGCTATACATTATATTCCCATAATTTATTTATTTTATAACTGGAAGTTTGTGCCTTTTGCCTCCTTCAACCCATTTTGTCCACTCCCCACCCCCGCCTTTGACAGCCACCAATCTGTTCTCTGTATCTATGAACTTTTTTTTTTTAGGATTCCAGATATAA